ATGGTAACAAGAACTTATCTGATTGGTGGATCTCTTATAAGGAGTGTGGGTGGTTTAATTCTGCATTGGGAATTTGGATAAAAAAAAAGGAATTACTATAATTGCTTGAAGCTCATGGTAGGTCTGTCTTGAAAGGTTTATGCATTATTGCTAAAAATCAATCTCTCTATGAAGAACCCAACTGGTGCGCTCTATTTCAGTCTGTGGGCGCTTTTACAGGGTTTATTATCATGTCTGATGATTACAGTAAAACACCAGTGGCCTGTTACTCAAACATTTAAACCTGTCCCATACACCAGCTTTTAGATTGATTGCTCACACCCAATCAATATTACGTCACTTTTTTTTTTTATTTATTTTTGGTGTTTTTGCTTTAATTTGTATAGGACAGTATTTAGACAGAAAGCGACGTGGGAGAGAAAGAGGGGGAACATGATCGGTAAAGGTCCACGAGCCGGGACTCGAAATTGGGACGCCCGAAGCACAAAGGCGCTATATGTCGGCATGCTGCACACAAGGCTATTGGTGCCAACACATCACCTTTACCACCAAAACAAACCATCCAATCCACAGACACACAGAGAGCACTCTGGGATATGTGTGTGTTTTATGCATCTGTGTTTATTTATAGCAGAGGCAATAGTCACAATTTTGTGCAACGGTAACATACGAGATGACCTTACAGTTTAGACTGGCATTTGAAGTAATGGTTTAAACGAGAGAAATACGGCCACGGCCAATGAAATGGAAGATTAAAAATACAAAACAAGAGCTTATTAAAGTTGTGCTCGGAGAGGCAAGCGGCCTTTTAGTGTCACTACTACACCAACCTTTTGACTTAACATGAGGTGAGTGTTGTCTAAAGGTGCGTAGAAAATGTTTTTCTCTCTCTCTCTCTCTCCATCTTTTTAATAATATAAGATTAAATATAATGTAATATATTAAAATTAAATATAATACATTATAATATAGCATCATTATATTATATTATAAAACTGTAAACTAACTTTTCTACAAAAGCAGAGAATGCATGTTAAAAAGAACAAAATATTAATAGATATTAATTAATATTATTATATAGTCTTTATAATGTAATGTAATATAATATAATGTGTTTTTGAATATGATCATTTATGGATAATTCTAACATTCTGAGTAGAGCATTTAGATTAGAGAGTTTAAATATAAAAGTATTATATTTATTATATAAGTGAATCGAGAAAGTGTTCACTCTCACAGCGATATGCAAGTTTATGACTTTTAACTTTAAATAAGCTTTCATAAAATTCTAAACTTTAAATGTTTAACAAAAGTTCTATTCAGATGATACAATGAATACAATGCCAACAACCTTTGTGAATAGCTCAAGTGAATAAACTCTCAGAATAATTATCATTTTTTTATATAATCATTAATTTTGTGCTCTGTCTAGGAAATCTACAGTGTTATTTTGCATAAATTAGCTGTGAATGTACTCAACATGAGCAATCAACTTAACCAACTTAAAGAGGGCATATTTTGGAAAACAGATTGTTTTGCTCTTGAAAAAACATTTCATGTTCTTTTAAGACACATTTTAACATTGAAAACATTAATAGGAGGCCAGAAACATCCAGAGGTTTTAAAATGATATATAAAGCAGTAAAATGTGTTAATGTTACTGTTAACAACTTTTAACTTTTAAAGCCACTGCCATTTTATATTTGCCATATATATTTTGATAAACATAATGTGAATTATTGCATATATATAGTTGGGCTGCTTGATATTTTTGTGGATTGTTTAATGCATCCTTGATGAAATAAATAAACATTAAAAAAAAATCTTACTGATCTCATATTTACATACAAACAGTTATTTAATTTATTATGTATTTATTTTAGTGCTGTCAATCGATTAAAAAAAATTAACTAATTAATCGCATATTTTTCTGAAATTAATCGCGATTAATCCCACATAACATTAAAGTTTTTAAATATGCTTTTATATTGCAATAATTTCACATTCAATCTTTAAATTAATGTACAAACAGCATAAAGACAGTATATTTTTAATATAGTTTATTTCGCGCTTTGATGTGAAAGGATCAGAGCCGATCCTAGACTTCTGGGGGCCCTACGTAAAACTGTGTCGGCGGTGGTGGGGGGTGGGGGGGTTATGAATGACGAGTTATGAATGAATGAAACGCCTTTGTCCGCTTGAGAAACGGTGTCTCTTCCGCGGCTCGGTACGCTTTCAACTCGTTTTTTTGGGTTTTTTTGTCTCGAGTAAGACACTGTATGACATTCACATAACATGATTTGACTGATTTTTACGTAGAAAGAGCGACAGCACACCGCATTAAAAGAAATGACATAAGCGGTTTTCATAACCCTGGCCAAATTCAGAAACGAAACTAAAATTAAATCATCTTTGAGAGCAAGGGGGCTCCCTGGTTTTTCGGGGGCCCTACGCAACTTGCGTACTTTGCGTATAGGGAGGATCGGCTCTGGAAAGGGTACAGGCTACAGCGCGTGCCGGCGCCTTTATGCATGCAATTGAAGAGCTCGTTTGACTCACGCCTGGCGCTGAAGTGAAGTGGAGCGCGCGTCTGAAACGTCTCCCGTTCTCAGTCGTTCTGCAACTGAATAAATGCACTTCTTGTCAAGAGAAAAAGTGACAGAAGCAGCAGTTGTGAGTGGGGTGGCCAACCCTAGCCCCGCCCCTGCGTTAATTGCCTTAAAGGTTAAAAAACTCAAAAAAGTGTATTTTGAGGGTTATAAAGCATTTGCAAAGTTTCATTCCCTTACTATAAAAACATGCATTTTTGAAGACTTATTAACTTAATTTGAAATCTTTTATCTAGTTGAATAAGTATACAATACTGTATTAGACAAGCTTGCAACCTACTTTTTAGTAAAATAGAGCTTTAGTGGATGCACAGCAGCAAGCATTGTCCCTCTGAGAAGTTGTGAAGTGCATCTTTCCATCGGTCAGTGTCGTCCACTCGATACTTTTGGAGTGCTTGATGCATAGTGATAGTTGCAGGACCTACAGGCTGGACATGGTCCACAGAGAGATGATTCACAGACTTTTACCACCAAGTCATTTCACAAGGGGTTACTTTTACCAGTGGTTATTTCTTCAAAAAATGTTTGTAGACGGTAAAAGACTTTACCGGCGCAAGAACACACAGACCATAAAAAAGTCTGAAAGAAATGACTGATGTAGCTAATTCAGATGGGATCAAAATATATAAAAACAGTAAAATAAATTTAAATCACACAGAATTTTAGCATCTGAATAGGACTTTTGTTAAACATAATTTTAGAATTAGTAAAGTAAAAAAACAAGTAAAAAAATATTTTAAAATATTAATATAAATACATTACTGGTGTCAAAATTAGCGCGTTAACGCAGGCGATTAATTTTTTTCAGTTTAATGTGTTAAAAATATTTAAAAAATGTTACACATTTTGTGTTCCTATCATTTTGGGCCCGACTATGTTAGGTTTCAAATATACCTAATAGTACATAAAATTATCTATGAAGTTATATTAGTGTCTCACACACTTTTGAGACTGAATGACTGAATGAAACAAACAAACAAAAAAAAAATTATTGGCGAACCAATGCAGTATGCAAAATGTTTCACTTTTTCATCTGAAAGTGAAAGTTTATGCAAGGAAAATGAATTTATTTTGTTTGTAAACTACAGTAATATTTGTTGTTTTGATGCTGTTTTGTTGTTTTTTGAAATATGTATGTACGTTTCGTAAATTTGGACTGTTTTTGAGCAATCATGCAGGTTATAAATTAATTCTATTCATTTCAACCGGGTTAATACTGTCAATTCTCAGATTATATGTTCCTATAAATTTCATACAATGGTGTTAGTGAGGCCAGCAGGGGGTGCTCACCCTGTGGTCTGTGTGGGTCCTAACGCCCCAGTGTAGTGACGGGGACACTATACTGTCAACAAGCACCGTCCTTCGGATGAGACGTTAAACCGAGGTCCTGACTCTCTGTGGTCATTAAAAATCCCAGGATGTCTTTCGAAAAGAGTAGAGGTGTGACCTCGGCATCCTGGACAAATTTGCCCATTGGCCTCTGATCATCATGGCCTCCTAACAATCCCCATATCTACTGATTGGCTTCATCACTCTGTCTCCTCTCCACCAATAAGCTGGTGTGTGGTGGGCGTTCTAGCGCACTATGGCTGCCGTCGCATCATCCAGGTGGATGCTGCACACTGGTGGTGGATGAGGAGATACCCCCTGACAATGTAAAGCGCTTTGAGTGCCTAGAAAAGCGCTATATAAATGTAAAGAATTATTATTATTATACAATGATATATTCAAATAAAATTTCTCATCAATATCGAAAAAAAAAATGCTGATCAAATACATTTTAGTTTTTGCTGAAAATATTAAGTCTAAAAAACGATTCTTCGGGTACAAACAGACCTGGAAAATACTATACCGTTTCAGAATGCTTCAGTAGGGTTAAATAACAATATAAATGGACTTTAGGGAAAAAAAATGAAGCTACAAGTGTGGAATGTGACCCATTTTGTACTATCTCTTTCAAATAATGAGTTATACGGTGCTTTAAAGTTACAGTCACTTGGTTTGGATCCTGCTGAGGGAGGCATGTCGAGATCCCCAGACATTCCTCCAACGCTAACCTCTCTGATGGCTAAATTAACCCAACAGCCTGGCCGGTAACACAGTTGGTGTCGCCTCCTGTCAGCTCAGACTCAATGTCTCAATTAGCACTCCCCCGCCAGGGCATTATATCGTCATCTTCATTTCGCCCGCCTAAACCCTGAATTACTGAGCAGCAGGGCCACCGCCTCCCTCTGGGACCCCCATCCTTGCACGGGGAAAAGACAGCACCGGGAATCTTTGCTCATTTTTCATCTGCATTGATTTTTTGGGGAGGAGAAAGTGGTGCAGAGGTAAACAGGGAGGTCATTGATTCAAAGTCACACAAAGATGCTGAAGGAAGGACAGTGGGAGATAAATGTACCTAGACTAAGAAGGTACATAAAAATGGATGTGTCTTACGGTACAGAAAAGTAAAACAAAACACTTTCCTTGGCTTTTGATTTTCTGTTTGTTTCTGTTATGATTTTCTGGTTGTGGCATTTCTCTGAGACAAGCCCAGGTGAATGAGACAGATGAAAAATAATGATGCAGTCTTGATCTAGCCTAATTTACAGAAAGGAAGAGGTGGTGCATCTCTTTCAGTTTAGAAACCCCTCGCTGAGGAAATGTCGCATCAAAACACCTGCAGATTTGATGACTCAGTAACACAAGCTCATTTTGAGAGAATAAACCCTGGCACAATTGACTGTTTTACAATATTAAGCGATCTGCATTCAGTATTCATGGTTGATGTGCATGTTTGTAGGCGACGGAATGATGTATGATCGGAATGATCATATTTACAAGATGAGCACAGAAAGTCGTTATTTTACATTTGTTGACACAAGTGGCATAGAAATTGGAATGTTTTAATTGTAAATATGAATTACAGAATTGTCATTATACTATACACAACCAAGTTTGGGATCAGTAAGATTTTTTGTTAAATACTTTTATTAATCAAGGATGCAATAAACTGATCAAAAGAGACCGTAAAAACATTTACATTATTGCAAATATATATATATATATATTTTAAATAAATGAAACTTTCTATTCATCAAAGAATCCTGCTTTTCTTTTTGTTGCATTAGTGATAAAACATCTATCGGTTTTTGCTAAAGTGAAAAAGAAATGCCCACATCAACTTTTTCACTTGCAAGCACATTGTAATTATGACTTCTAGGCTTGTAAGTGGAACTTCCCAGAAGGAAGGTAACATTAAAACCGTTAACTGATTTGGAACATTCTGGTTTTGGAATAGCCTTCATATGGTCTTTTAAAATGCTGTCTAGATAGGCAACTCACTAGGTTTTGTAACGGATCTCAAGTGTTTATGTACTGCAATAAGTTCTCATTCTCTGTTTAAAAAGGAAAAAAAAAATAATAATAAGGAACCTGAGGCTAGTGTTACCGGGCGAACGAGACATGAGACTTGCGGATCCATTTGAAAAGCTTTAATAGGAGACAGAGACGTGGTCCATAAAACAGGCATGGGTCAGACAATGGCAAACAGGTATATTGAGGGCAAGACAGAAGAGTAATCCAAAATGGGCGTGGTCGATAAGCGGCTAACAATATCCAGAGGGCTTGACATGAGGGGTAATCCAAACTTTTATTAGCCTTAAAGCAGGGCACACGCCCGCTTGAAGGCTATATTCAAGAAGATTTGCACATGCCCATTACAGGCCGTCTGCTGATCTCTGTGCATGCTTTCAAAGTGAATGCATAATTTTTGTTAGCAGAAAATCAGAGAAATCTGACTTCCTAAAACAGCGTGACACAGTTGGCCTTGAACTAAAAAAGCCTAATGCTTTTACCAGCACTGCAATTTGACCTGGAATGTGAGTTGAACTCATTCGAAAATGCCGGGAGAAAAAAAAAAAAAGTATCTTGGCATTTAAACATCCATTTAGCACCAACATGATGTGCGGTGAAAAACTACAGCGAGCCATCTGTCCTGATTAGCTGAAGAGCTCTCGTTTGATAAAGGTCAAGTGTAAAATGTTCTGCCCAGTGACTCTCGGATTTTAACAGTAATGGGACGTGCAAGTCCAAATATTCGTATGCTAGATTTGTTTAATTTACTTTTTTTTTTCTTTTGGATTTTATATTATACTGACTAACTGTTTGGATTATTGCTGCAATCACGGTGTGTAAGTAGTTTTAGATGTCCGTTCATGATTTTGTCAAACATACTGAAGTTTGAAACTCTGACTTCTCTGAAATTCTCTTAATTTTCCCACTTGTCTGTTGCGACGTCATGTAAAACCACCAAACCTGCAGTCAATTTAACAAAAATGGCTATTGACAATTAACAGTTTTTGGATTGCACACTGCAGCTTATTCTGGCCAAATACTGCCCCCATACAAGAACAGAATGTCTGTATGGAATGATATTCCGGACAATATCCAAAAGGAATTGCAAATTGTATTTGCAATTGCGTTTTCAATTTGTGGACTGTTCTTGGTTTTCCACCAGTAGTGGGCGTGGCATACTTTCCGACTATATCAATAAACCCCACCCTCAAGACTGATTGACAGCTGACTGAGTTAGGCATTGGAAATGCAAGTGCAAAGGGGATTGAGATTCCACATGAATTTTGTGAGGGTTGGAGCAGGATGCGGAGAAACTGAAATAGCAATTGGTGATTTTTCTATTGCTATTCCAAAATGACAGAATCATAACTTGTAATACATTGGAAATGCAATTGCAAATTGACTTTGCGTTTCCATTTAAAATCTGGCAGACATGTTTCATACATGGAAAAGAAAATGGAAACACAAATGCACGATTTGCAGTTGCGTTTGGATTTTTTCTCAACGTATGCGTCCACAAATTGAAAACGTAAATGCAATACAATAAAATGTGCAATTCCATTTGAATATTGTCCGAAATATCGTTCCATATATCTGGTCAGCATGTAGAGCAATCAACCCTTTTTTGTGTGTAAACTTTGTGTTCAGATTTGTTTGTTTTTTTTGTACACACCAAGGCTATATCCTGCTTCGTGTTTTTGAAAGAATGTTTTTTTTTTTTATGCAAACCAAAGCTGCGTTTTTTTGATCAAAATAAAGAAAAAATAGTAATATTCTAAAATATTATTACAATTTAAAAGAACATTTTTCTATTTTAATATTTTTTTAAATGTAATTAATTCCTGTATTGTAAACCTGAATTTTCAGCATCATTACTCCAGTCTTCAGTGTTACATGATCCTTCAGAAAACATTCTAGAAACTTATTATTATTATAATTTTTATAGGATTGTTTGATAAATAGAAAATCTATTCTAAAATCTAAAATCTATTCTAAATGAATAGCATTTATTTGAGACTTTTTTTGTGTAACAATTTGATGTATGTAATGCTTTTTTACAGAATAAAGTATGAATTTCTGGGGGGAATATAATTGAACGTAGTGTATGTTTATTTGTTCCTAATTGCCTAAAAAAAAAAAAAATTTTTTTTTTATTAAACTGGCAGACAAACTGAATGATTAGATTTTCTTCACAAGCGCTCATAATTTCAACATGTTAAGACATGATTTTGGTTCCTAGCAGAATGATAAAAAACATCCCTGACCCCTAAAAGCTGCATTGGAGTTTACGATTTTCGAAGTGCTTTCCAGTTTTGTATGCAGTATGCATCAGACAGTCAGACGAACAGCGAAGACTAGTTAGGTAAAGACCTCTACACATATTTCAGTTTGATATGCCATTTTATTATTACCAGTGTTATCAGTTGCTTTCTTTGTTCTTCTGTATTTTGCAAGAGGTGAATTTATGTAGTGATTAAGTATTTTGCTGTCATAACCAACAAAGCCACTCTTGGATCCATAAGAGTTGCCATAGAAACTAGTCATTTCTGAGTCCCGCAATGTGAACGATTCAGAGTAGGATCTGAGTTGTCATCTCGTAATTACGGTAATTCTGACACGGCATGTATTTACTGTCATAATTAAGTTTCTTAATGAAGAATAGTTAAACATTTAGAGAACATTTTCACTAAATCATTCTTTTTATTGCCCACTGATCAAATGATCATTTTGACCTGATCCAATGTGTAGTTCAACTTAAAATCTGATAATAGGTTCTGAAGGAGTAATGAAAAGTTTTGAATACTTACAACCATACCATTTAGCGACACCCAGCAATCAGGAGGGAAGTCTTGCAGGAGAGGCACCAGAAACTGCAGGCATCCGTCCCAGTGGCACAGCAACAACATCATGCCAATCAGGTTAAAGATTCTTACCACTGCACTCGCCAGGTCATATGTCATATGAAAAATCTGAAGGAGGAACACAAGGAGAAAAAGGTCAGTGGTTTCATTAAAGAATAGTGCACAGGATGGCGTTTTGTTGAATAACAGAAATCATTATTTTGCATATTAAGAAAACAGTGTCACGTGACCCTCAAGACTTGAGTAATGGATGCTGAAAATTCAGCTTTGACAGCACAGGAATAAATTACATTTTAAATATATTAGAAAATAAAATAGTTATTTTAAATTGTAATAATATTTCACAATATTACTATTTTTACTGCATTTCTGATCAAATAAATGCAGCCTTAGTGAGCATAAGAGACTTATTTCTAAAATATTTAAAAAATCTCACCGTAAACTTGTAAAATAAATGATAGTGTACTGTAGGGCTGCATGATAAATCGCATGCGATATTTAACGCGCATCTTATCAGTAAAGCCGGTTCTGTAATCAGTGGTAATTCTCCATCACCTGCGTGCTTTCACATTGAGCAGCATTAACTACACAGAGCCGTTGTTCACTGACGAGTTGCGCAAAACCACGTTCATATACGCGCGATTTTTTGCGCAGCTCGTCAGTGAACAACGGCTCTGTGTAGTTAATGCTGCTCAATGTGAAAGCCCGCAGGTGATGGAGATTTATCGCTGATTACAGAACCGGCTTTACTGACAAGATGCGCATTAAATATCGCATGCGATTTATCGTGCAGCCCTAGTGTACTGTATATTTGTATTTTTTGTTATTATTTTTCACAACCCAAATGGCCATGTGATTTATTCAAAAGTCATTTCAGAGTTCAGAGAAAGTAAATCCATTTTAATTGTTTTTTTCCCTCATATGTATAACATGCACTGATGAATCATGCACAATAAAATCAGTGACATTTATTAAGAAAGTAAATTGGCTACATTTTGATTTCTGTTAGTCTATAACAACTGAAAAGCTACTAGATACGCCTCATAGTCTGTTTCCTACTCTAATCTCCCTTGTTCTTAATAACCAGTGTTATGTTGTATCAGAATTGCTATGTAGACAAAACTGATAATCTTATGCCTTTTCACCTCTTTGTAGATTTATATATCTAATAATGATGCATTGAGAATAAAGTGAACATCACGGGAGCGCTGCATCTCGCAGAATGATGAGCCACTGCCCTGGAGGATCATTCAAAACAATTACACTTGACCCCAAAGACAGTCAATATGAGAAGAGAAGATGTGTTATCCATCTCATCTCTGCCTACTAAAACCTCTGATACTTAAGTCAGCTAAAACCAGCAAACCAGCTTAGGCCTGTTTAACCATCAACTGCAATGCACCAACAATAAGCAAAATAATTAACTTGACATAGGCTAAATGGGAAGCTTGACAATACATATCATCAGGAGTGTGATTTACCAGATTCGAACAAACATTGGGCCAAATATTCAAAATGTATCATATTACCAAGTGACAGATGATTTTGCACCAAAACACACTCTAAAAAAAAAAAAAAATTCTTTGGCTTTAGTGGTTCCAAAAAAAAACCTTCAACATCCATGGAAACGTTTCATTTGTGCAAAAGGTTCTTCATAGTGTAAAAAGGTTCTTTAGATTATTAAATTATTAAATGTTTTATTTAAGAAGTGTTCATTGAAAGGTTCTTTGGGGAACCCAAAAATGGTGGTTCTATGGAATTCACTCTTGAAAATAAAATTAGCATGGATGGTTCCATGAAGAACTTTAAACATTAATGTAACATTACATTACACAAAATGTTCTTAATAGTGGAAAAAGGTTCTTTTAAGAACTTTTCACTAAAAGGTTCTTTGGAAACCAAAAAAAGGTTCTTCAATGGCATCACTGAAATAAACCCCTTTTGGAACCTTTATTTTTAAGCGTGTACCTTTGACATCAAAAAAGATATTCTTCTCCCTTTTAAAAGCATACTTATTGTGCTATCCTAATTATGCACAATTTTAAGGTAAGTTGTTTTTTATTATTTGCATTTGGCATTTTCAGAGCAGACCTGCTACTTGTTTTGGTCACGACCCACCCGTTGAGAGGTTTCAATGATAATGCCGCCCACAGGCTCTTACGTGAAACATTAGGTACTCTTACACACGATTGCAAGAGTCCTCGTCTGTCTTAGCGAATGCCTGGGATATTTGCATGTGTTTTGAGCAGAGGTAGATTTGGTTTATGTTTCACAAGAGCAATAGTCAGGATCAAAGAGAGGGAGAGGAAAGGAGAGAGGGAGATACAAAACAGGGGACA